GAACCCGCCACCTTAGGTGTATGTGGCTGGCGCCTTAGCCGCTTGAGCCACAGGCGCCGAGCCACAGAACACTTTTCTAACAGCAAAGTTATTAATTCCTGGAAAACTGTTCTATAGAATTAAGTTTGGGGAATGCTGATCTAGATCAGTATTGGCAAACATTTTTTGCAAATTTTTATTACTTTAGACTTTTCAACTCTCTGTTGTAATTACTCAGCTCTGCCATCTTAGTGTGAAAGTACCCATAGACAATATGTAAATGAATAATTGTGTTCCAATAAAACTTTATTCACAAAAATAGGCAACTGGCTGGATTTGGCCCACCAGCTATAGTTTGATTCAGATAATTCTAAAAGAGAACTGGTCTTTTCTAGGCATACGTCACTTTCTTGATTCTTCACCACCACCAGCAGTGTATAGGGCTGAGTAGTTGTGTTTCTGGGAGATACTATTCCCAAAACAGAACAAGACAGTCAAATAGAAAAGACATTTATCTACCTGTAATCTCTCTCCATGAAAATGAACCCAGAGAACATGAAACGACTGTGGGGAGAACAGAGTTGAGGTTAGGAGTAGCAAAAATGTACCTTCATACCAAAACCTGAAATAACACAGAATGACGCTTCTATAATCATTCATGCTCTTCCCCAAACAAAAACACAACAAAGATAGTAAGTTACCTCAACATCTTTCTCACCCACAAAGGTCTTTTACAGCCAATATATAACATAAAGTAAAACATAAGAACTTTCTTTACACATATATTTAGGTGGGAACACTTCGATTTATATGATCAATAAGGAAAATTTTAGGCATAAACTTAAAGATGTATTATTTGAAATGACTGTTTCCAGGCATTTTGCTCTCCATTGTGTGTTAGTCAATTGCTTCTATTGAGGCTTCTGTTGAATTTAACTTGTGAATAGGAAAGAATAAGGCATTGCTGAACAGTAGTTTGACAGATATATACAATAAGCTACATTCAAATACATATGTTCACACTCAATCCAAACACTCGCGCATATAGCTATATAAATAAAACATAAGTACACACTCAACTCCACATCACTGTAGTTTTTCACTGCTTACACACTTTTAAAAGCAAGAGTAAGACTTATAGTTGGGGAGAAGGTGTGGTTAGATGGATGCTAACAGGTAGATGAGAGGAAGGGAAGTTTGGAAAGGCAGACATTTGAATAATGTAGAAATGGGAAGGCAAGTGAAGGGTCTGTTGAGGATAACTGGCTTCTATTCCCCACAACTGAGCATTCCTTGGAGTTCAAGAATCAGCCACAAGGGGCTCAGTGCCTGTAGCTCAATGGCTAGGGCACTGGCCACATACACCAGGGCCAGTGGGTTCGAACACAGCCTGGGCCTGCTAAACAACAATGACAACTACAATTAAAAAAAAAAATAGCTGGGTGTTGTGGCGGGCGCCTATAGTCCCAGCTACTTGTGAGGCTGAGGCAAGAGAATTGCTTAAGCCCAAGAGTTTGAGGTTGCTGTGAGCTGTAATGCCGCAGCAGAGTGCCACTTAGTGAGAGTCTGTCTCAAAAAAAAAAAAAAAAGAAGAAGAATCAGCCGCAAGGGACAGGACCTTATCAGTCTTCGCTCTTGGCTCTTTTGTGCTGTCTCCTATGAAAAGCTGTGGTTACTGTAAGGATGGTCAGTCTTTATAGTGAAATAACAGAAAATTATTAATTCATAGTTTTTCAACAAGGACTGAAATCTGTATCTCTGTCTGCTTTCTTTTTCATGCTAGCAGGCTCCCTCCCCTTGTGAATTTCTGTTTTCACAAACCACTCAGGAGCCCTCCTTTTCTTTCCTTCTCTCTCCTATCCCCCCCTCTAAAATATAAAATCAACTTATGGTTTTATATCCTAATCTTAGCCTGGAGAAATTCTTTTCTCTTTCAGTGTGAAGCACGTACTAAGCTTTTCCACCCTAACAGTTACATCAAAGGGAGAGATGCTTTTGCAATTATAAGCATTTGAGGGATTATAGAAAATAACAAAGCCACAGTTGCCTCTTCTTTCTTTCTTTTTCCTCATTTAGGCAACACAAATTTGTGGGGACAGTTTTAAGAGATTTCTAGGTAAATGCAGTATCCTTGCGATATCTTAACAGGCTTATCTAGAGTAGGCCCTCTGTGACTTCATTCAGTTACTCACTTCTCTTCTCAGACAGTAAACTCCAGGTACAAGCAGGTTCCATATCTCTCCTTTTCTTCTGATTGCTCATCCTGGCAAATCAAGAAGACTATAATCCAAAACAGAAACGATAGTTAGAAAGCCTAGTGGAAACTCAGAGTAACAAAGTAACTCAAGAAAGACTCGACATTCAAGGCATTGCAGAGTTAAGAGAAGAGAGAAGGCCTACTCACCAATAGATAAGTGAGGTAGGACTGGGGGGAACCTCATAAAGACAGACCAAAACTAACAGTCTTCAACTTGAAGAGAAAAAAAGCTAAAAGAAGATGGAATGTCTATAAAGCTATAAAAGCTACAAATATGAGGAATGTCAAATTGGGCTCTGGATTGGGTAAATAAGGAGGCACGGGATTTAGGTAGTATATCTCTAATGTTTATAGTCAAGAGAAGTAAAAATGACCATGTACTTCCACAAGATATTTTTGGTGCCATCAATAAAGGGAAAATTCTAAGCCTATAGATTAGACTGCTGTGGAATAAGAGAATAGTCTAAAGAGTCAGGAAACCTAAGCCATAGTTCCACTGTTATCTACCTATAGACCTTGAGTAAAATTCTTCTCATTTCTGGGTCTGTTTCACTTCTTTTTTATTCATTTATTTTTTATTAGATCATAACTGCATACATTACTGCATTTATGGGGTACAATGTGCTGATTTTATATACAATTTGGAGTGCTTACATCCAACTGGTTAACATATCGTTCACCTCACTTATGTAATTGTTCTGTTTTTTGAGACAGAGTCTCGCTTTGGTGTCCTGGTAGAATGCCATGGCATCATACCTCACAGCAACCTCAAACTCTTGGGCTCAAGTGATCCTCTTGCCTCAGCCTCCTGAGTAGCTGAGACTACAGGCATGTACCACCATGCCTGACTAGTTTTTCTATTTTTAGTAGAGACAGGGGTCTTACTCTTGCTCAGGCTGGTCTCTAACTCCTGAGCTTTCTCCTGAGCTCAGGCAATCCACCCACCTCAGCCTCCCAGAGTGTTAGGATTATAGGCACAAGCCACTGAGCCCATCCTGTTTTACTATTTTCAAAAGGGCTCAGGGAATGTTAGACCAGGTTTTTTTCCAGGTTTAACGTTGTAAGACCAGTGGTTCTCAGTCTTAGCTGCATATTAGAATCACCTTCCCACTACCTTCCAGAACTTTTTATCCTTCTTTGCAATATTACTTATCACTTTCTAATATATTTGATACTTTACTTATGTATTATGCTTATTATTCTTCATTGTCAGTCTTTCCCACATAAATTGAATTACTGGACCCAATTCTCAGCTTTTGCCATGAACTTTGCAATTCTACACACTCATTTTCCTGCCTATTGTCTTTTACCTTAGTCATGAGACTTGCTAATGGTGTGTACCCAGAGTTGAACGTGTCACCTCCCCTTGTGACTTTGTCACTGTCATGAGAAGAGCTATAGAGAAACAAGACCCAGCTAGTCCAATGGTCCAAGGAGGATTAAATACATGAAGCAGAGCCACCCCCACTTTTCCCACAGTCCTGCAGCATGAAAAGTTGAGCCATGCCAGCCTGAATCAGTTGCCCAAAAGAGCCCTTCCTGATCAGCTGAGTCCCAGATGGTCTCCAGATCTATGAGAATAAACGCTTACTTAATATGTCTTTAATTTTTCATGCCACAGAAATCTTATGAGTGTTGTTGTGCATCACTGTGGCAACAGCTAACTGATACATCTTGCTAGAACATAAATGCCTAGAAAGCATTTGGTGCAGAATAGACATTCATTAAATAGTTATTGAGTAAATTGAATAAACAGAAGATTTTTTTAAAATCCAATGTCTATTTCTGCATTCCTGATAAATTAAATCAGAATCTTTAATGATGAGACTTAGCATCGATTTGTTTTTAAGTTCCCCAAGTGATGAGTGATTCTAACACAAAGCCATGGAAGCCACTGTTAGCCACTGTTCTAAGATTTGGTTATTTTTGATATAGGTAAGAGTGTATTGGTTTGGGGTTTTTTTTGTTTTTTGTTATTGTAGAGACAGAGTCTCACTTTTTTTGCCCTGGGTAGAGTGCAGCGGAGTCGCTCCAGCAACCTCCAACTCCTGGGCTTAGGCAATTCTTCTGCCTCAGCCTCCCAAGTAGCTGGGACTACAGGCGTCCGCCACAACACCCAGCTATTTTTTGTTGCAGTTTGGCCGGGGCTGGGTTTGAACCCGCCACCCTCGGTATATGGGGCCGGCGCCCTACTCACTGAGCCACAGGCGCCTCCCGAGTGTGTTGGTGAAATACATAGGCTTTAGATCAAATGTACATGTGCAAGCCCCAGCTCTATCACTTACTGTATGACAACCATGGAATTAACATTTCCAAGCCTCAGCTTCTTCATCTGTTAAGTAGAAATGACAATACTACTTTCCTTATAAGGTAATTATGAGGATGACAGGAAATAATGCATATAGCATATTCAGCATACTACTTGGTACACAGTAAGGACTCAATTATCCTAAACTACAGCTCTTTGTGTTGTTGTATCATCTTTATATGGAGTAGAAATGTCTTTGAATTCGAATAGATTTTAAGTCCTATTTCCACTCTCTCTAACAATATGGCTTTGAGTAAACTGTTTAATCTCTCTGAGATTCTAGTAACCCACCTATAAAATATTCTTGATAATAATATCTACGTCGTTAATTTTTTGTGATGATTAAATGACATTCATAAAACACTTAGCACAGGGCCCGGTGCAATAGAAATGATGTTACAAAAAAATAAGATAGCATTTATTATAACATTGACAGAAAGATGTTACATTCCATTAAAATCTTTAAGGATTTGTCTATTCTGGACATTTCCTATACAGGAAACCATAAAACATCTGGCCTTTTGTACCCGGCTTTTTTCACCTGCCTTAACATTTCTAAGGGTCATCCATGTTGTAGCATTTGTCAATACTTTGTTCCTTTTTATGAACATAATTTTAATAATGGAAAATGGCAAAGAGGTGGAAAAACTGGAACTCTTATACATTGCAAGTGCAAATGTAAAATGATACAGGCACTTTTGAAACCAGTTTGGCAATTCCCTCAAAAAATTAAACACAGAATTATCATATGACCCAGCAATTCCACTCCTACGTGCACACTTTAAAGAACTGAAAATAGGTGTTCAAACACAAACTTGTACAAGAATGCTCATATCAGCACTACACATAAGAGCTAAAAAGTAGGCTCAGTGCCTGTGGCTGAAGTGGCTAAGGTGCCAGCCACATACACCTGAGCTGGTGGGTTCAAATCCAGCCTGGGCCCGCCAAACAAAAATGATGGCTGCAACCAAAAAACATAGTCAGGCGTTGTGGCGGGCGCCTGTGGTCCCAGCTACTTGGGAGGCGGAGGCAGGAGACTCGCTTAAGCCCAGGAGTTGGAGGTTGCTGTGAGTGATGCCACAGCACTCTACCCAGGGGGACAGCTTGAGACTCTGTCTCAAAAAAAAGAGAGCTAAAAAGTAGAAACCCGAATGTCCATCAGTGGATGAATGGATAAATAAAATGTGGTATATACATACAGTGAAATATTATTGTGCCTTAAAAAGGAAAGAAATTCTGACATATGTTACAACATGGATGAACTTTGAAGATAGTATGCTCGCCCAGGGATGGAGGCTGAAACCTGTAATCCTAGCACTCTAGAAGGCTGAGAGGAGAGTATTGCTTGAAGTCAGGAGTTTGAGACCAGCCTGAGCAGGAGTGAGATCCCATTTCTACTAAAAATAGAAAAAATTTCTGTGCGTTGTGCTGGGTGCCTGTAGTCCCAGTTACTCAGGAGGCTGAGGCAGAAGGTTTGAAAGAGTGAGACTCTATCTCAAAAAATTAGGGTACATGTGAATCTTTCTAAATGTAGAATATAAATGTCTTAACACAATAACCAAGATAATGACATAAAGGCTATGTTAACCAGTTTGAGGAAAATATTTCGGATTGTATATAGAACCAGCACACTGTACCCCATGACTGCATTAATGTACACAGCTATGATTTAATAAAAAAAAGAAAAGAAAAGAAAATTAAATAAAGAAAAAGACACTATGCTAAGTGAAATAAGCCAGATACAAAAGGACAAATATTGTATGATTCCAATTACATGAGTTATCTAGAATAGTCAAATTCATAAAGGTGATAAGAAAAGTAGTGATTACCAGGGGTTGGGGAGAAAGGGTAGTAGGTGGTAATTGTTTTATTGATTATACAGTTTCAGTATGGGAAGAAGAAAAAGCTATGGAAATGGATAGTGGTGATGGTTGCACAACAATTTGAATTTTGTGAACGTTACACTTAACAATGGCTAAAATGTTCAATTTTGTTATATGTATTTTAAGAAAATTTAAAGCAGGGCAAGTATTTGAACAGCTCTTTCACAGAGGAAGATGTAGAAATGGTCCATAGCATATAAAAAGATGATCAATAGCACACAAAAAGATGACATCATTAATGATAGAAACTCCAACAAGGCATTACTTCACATCCATCAGAATAGTTAATATAAAAAAGACTGATGGCCGGGGGGGGGGGCAGCGCCTGTGGCTCAAAGGGATAGGGTGCCTGCCCCATATGCCAGAGGTGGTGGGTTCAAACCCAGCCCCAGCCAAAAACTGCAAAAAAAAAGACTGATGGCCAGCACTTTGGGAGGCTGAGGAGGGAGGACTCCTTGAGGCTAGGAGTTCAAGACCAGCCCAGTCAATGTAATGAGGTCCCATCTCTACAAAAAATAAAAAAATATATTAGCCAGGTGTAGTGGTATGTTATCTACTCAGGAGGTCATGGCAGGAAGACTGCTTGAACCCAGGAGTTCAACACTACAGTGAGCTGTGATTGCCCCAGTGCACTTCAGCCTGGGCAACAGAGTGAGACCATGTCTCTGTTTTAAAAAATTGAAAAAATTAAAAAAAAAATTGAATACATCAAAAGATGGATTGATGGATGAACAGACATGAATAAAGCCAATATAGCAAAATGCTAAAAATTACAGAAACTAAGTGTTGGGTATATGGAAATTCACTAAACATGCTTTATGTTTAAAAGCTA